GTACCAGATCAAATTCCTGCTAAATTTCTCAAACTTGTTGCTCAATACATTGGAAGTCCATTAACTGCCATAATCAATGATCTTATTACCAAAGCTATGTTTCCAAATGCTTGGAAAGTGGCACAAATAATGCCTATTCCAAAAAAAATAGCCATCCAACATGTGCAGCTGATCTACCCCCAATATCAATACTGCCTGTTTTATCAAAGGTGTACGAAAGACTAATCCATCACCAAGTCACCAGTTATATAGAAGCGTGCACAATATATAAAAATAACATTTCAGGATTCAGGAAAGGACACTTGTTAACTACAGTGCTACTAGGAATTAAAGATGATATCAAATACGCCATGAAGCGCGGTGAAGCTACATTGATGATCATGGCCGATTTTTCAAAAGCCTTCGATACCATCAAATTTAAAACAATCCTAAGTAAACTCAATGATCTAAGCTTTTCAAAGACCTATCTCAAATGGACAATAGACTACTTCACAAGTCGAAAACACTATGTTCAAGTTGACGATAAGAAATCTAACTATCGCGATGTAAATTTTGGTGTGCCCCAAGGGTCGATAATGGGTCCCCTCATTTTCAATTTCTATGTAGCTGACCTTCCATCATGTATACCTGACGTAACATGCCACCAATATGCAGACGACACCACCGCCTACAAACATTGCAAACCTGGAGATATAACTACTGTTCTCAACGATTTATCTGAAAGTGTTTATCGCCTCGACAGGTGGTCTAAAAATGCAAACTTAGTACTTAATCCAGATAAGTCTAAGATAATGTTGTTTTCTACTTCCCAATTATCTAAGGTGCATCACCTTGAGAATATCAACATGCACATCTCAATTAATGATATAATCCTTGAGCATGTTCCATCAACAAAGCTCCTTGGCATATATCTGGACCAACACCTCAATTGGGAAGAAAATGTCAGAAATACAGCTTCATCGTGCTACGCAACCTTAGCATCATTAAAGAAACTAAAGAACATTTTGCCCTTCCATTTAAAAAAGAATTTAGTCCAAACCCTTGTCCTAAGTAAGCTTTTTTACAATGACATTGTGTACCATTCACGGCCAGACTATTTGATGAAGAGACTTCAAAAAGTCCAAAAAGCGGCTGCCAGCTTTGTTTTAGGGTGTTATGCTTCCATGGATGATATTTTGAAACTAAAATGGCTGCCAGTGAAAGAGCATCGCGAGTGGGGTCTGCTGAAAACCGCCCATAAAGCATTATACAGCACAACATGGCCTGACTATCTGAAACTAAAGGTCTTTAAGCATAATCGGTGCCTGAGGTCATCTAGCAGCATACAATTGGAAAGATCTTTGATGTCTAATACCTTGGAAGACTTAGCTTCACAGCATTTTAATACGTTGTCAGCAGAACTTAGATCATGCTCCAACTTTAAAGCCTTTTCTAGATATACCTACAAGCTGTGCCTTGAAAAAGCATCAGCTTTTTATTCATGAGCCTTAATCTTAATAACTTGACATTTCTTGCATGAATTTTTAATACTCTATACATTCTTATATTGTATTGTATATTTTATATATTATAAATATTTATATTGTAGAGATTAGCAAATGTAGAGCCACTATGTGGATATGTTGCCCAATAAATTATTATTATTATTATTATTATTATTATTATTATTATTATTATTATTATTATTATTATTATTATTATTATTATTATTATTATTATTATTATTATTATTATTATTATTATTATTATTATTATTATTATTATTGTTCTTGTTCTTGTTCTTGTTCTTGTTCTTGTTCTTGTTCTTGTTATTATTGTTATTATTGTTATTATTGTTTCTTCCACAAAATAAATTTGGTCTCAATCTTAATCTCCCCTCCACAAAATTTTTGCAATGTCGAACCGTTTGCCGAACAGCTCTAAAATCCTCAGCTAATAAAGACATCACTAATCTATGGGCAATCACGAGTACGAACAAGAACATTCAGTACGATATCTACAAAGACACTAAAGACGTTCTAAAGGCTGTTAGAAAAGAGAACGAAGAAAGGCTTCAAAACCATTTGTTTTCGCAAGGATCTTTCTTTTCCAATGTCATTAACAATTCAACATCTACATTTAACTCTTTATGGTCCTCAGTTCAAAGAAAACTTCCGAAAAACATTTTTAATTTCACCATCCGATACATCAATAACAGTCTCCCAACGAGAAAAAACCTTTCAAAATGGGGTGCGTCATCAACTTCAGCTTGTTCTTTTTGCTCGTCTCCTGAATCCCTGCTTCATGTCGTTGCTGGTTGTCAAACTTACTTAAAAGAAGGCCGATATACATGGCGACACGATTCCGTCTTAAATTTCCTCGCATCAACCCTTACTGCGGTACAAAGTTCGAGACTTTTCGTTGATTTACCTGGTTTTATAAACCCATCTGTTCTCACGGGAGATAACCTGGGACCTGATCTTTTACTTGCCATTGAAAACAGATATTTATATATTCTTGAGCTTACTGTTGGATATGAGTCAAACATGGAAAATAACGCCCATCGGAAACATCAAAAGTATCTCCACTTAATTAAAGAACAAGAGTCAAGCTATGATAGTGTTAAATTTGTCAACTTATCCTTGAGTGCACTAGGCATTTTTAGTAGATCAGCTAAATGCTTCGATGAAATGCTCAGAACCCTAAAATTTGACGCCCAGCATAGCAAATATATAAAAAGAAAAATTGTAAATATGTGCATAAGATCATCGTATTATATATTTTGTAAACGAAACAAGGAGTGGGATAACCCAACACTTATGACACTATAATATTTTTATAACCTGAAAATAATGACATATAGTACATTTTAATCAGTATATATACATATTAATATAGAGTCAATTCTTGTAGTCATTGATAAGTTACCTGTAAAGCGAGGTTTATCAAGTTTGTATTTCTTATTAATTAATCGAAAATAAAGTTTCCATTATTATTATTATTATTATTATTATTATTATTATTATTATTATTATATTTTATTATTAATTATTTATTATTATTATTATTATTATTATTATTATTATTATTGTCATTGTCATTGTCATTGTCATTGTCATTGTCATTGTCATTGTCATTGTCATTGTCATTGTCATTGTCATTGTCATTATATCCGTAAATGGCTTGAAATACCTATTTCTGGAACATTGAGTAATGTGCATTTAACAACCAACAAATTTGGTCTCAACATCATTCCACCATCAACAAAATTTATACAGTGTCAAACAACTATTCGAGCAGCATTAAAAGCATCATGTAATGAATCAATAAAGCACCTCTGGAAAATGACGAATAACCACACTAACATACAATATGACCAGTACAGCTCAACAAAGGAAGTAATCAAATCATTTCATGAAAATCATGAACACAAACTACGAACTCAATTAATCTGTCAAGGATCATTCTTCTCCAGTATCTCGAAATTCTCTTTATCACAAGTGAACACGATTTGGCCAACCTGTCAATCCAAACTACTGAGAAACATTTTTAACTTCACAATTCGTTATATAAACAATTCACTACCGACCCGAAATAACCTGAAGAAATGGGGAATCTCTTCATCTTCTGAATGTTCGTTTTGCCTTCATCGTGAAACATTGTTACATGTTATTGCTGGCTGCAACTCTTATTTAGACCGATTTACCTGGAGACATGACTCAATTCTCAATTTTATAGCCAATAACCTCCAATCAGAACAAATCCAAGATATTTTCGCCGATCTGCCTTCATTTCTGAATCCTTCCATTATAACTGGTGATAGCTACCGTCCTGACTTACTAATCTTGACTAAGGACAACTGTCTGTATGTATTGGAACTTACCGTTGGTTTTGAAACTAACCTTAGAAATAATATAAAGCGCAAATACTCCAAATATGAAGAATTAATTGTGGAACAAAAGGAAAAATTTCAGTCAGTAAAGTTAATTAATCTCTCCATCAGTGCTCTTGGCGTCTTCGACAAACAATCTGCTGCTTTCATAAAAATGCTAGAATTAATGTACCCAAATCAAAGTCATGTAAAATATATTATTTGAAAAATTATTAATATTGCTATTAGATCGACATACTATATTTTCTGCTGTAGAAACAAAGAATGGTCCAAACCAGATTTGATGAAATTCTAGTTTTATATTTAACATACTAAAGAACTATATATATATAATATTCTGTAATGTAATTGTGTATTGTAACCATTATCTTATCTCCATATATCAAGTAGCCAATTGTAAATTACCTTTAAAAGAGAGATTTTCAATTGTACGTATAAGAGAAAAAATCAATAAAGTTTTCATTATTATTATTATTTTTTTAAAACAGTAAAGTTTGTCAATCTGTCGATTAGTGCCCTTGGTGTTTTTGAGAAAGAATGCTTAGTCTTCATTAATATGTTGGAAAGTTTAAAATCCGACAAGACTGGTGTACAATATATAATCAGAAAGGTCATTAATATTGCAATTAGGTCAACATATTACGTTTTTTGTTGTAGAAACAAGGATTGGACAAACCCAGATTTACTAAAATTTTAATCTGCTTGTTATACTGTGTACTTGTGTAAATGTAAGGTGTAATAATGCATAATGTATAATCAAATTTTTATATATCAAACTTTATTAAAACAAGTAGCCAATTGTAAATTACCTTTAACAGTGAGATTTGCAATTGTAAGTATGTATTAAAGAAAATAAAGTTTCCATTATTATTATTATTATTATTATTATTATTATTATTATTATTATTATTATTATAATAATAATAATAATAATTATTATTATTATTATTATTATTATTATTATTATTATTATTATTATTATTATTATTATTATTATTATTATTATTAATATTGATTATTATTATTAGACATTGAGTAGAGCAAGACGTGTCTACACATGTCTGTGGTTTAATCGACATCCTTTTACTTGATTTACGATCTACAAATTTTGAATTCATCAGTATTAATTATGATACGTTCAAGCTTTATATGTCTGCTTTTGTCTTGTGTTATATGTTCGTTTTGTGGCAAAGATTTTGTGTCTCTTGGTCGGCATCAATGGCGTTGTAAAGAGAAGATTACCGACCCTTACTCAAATGTCTACCCAAATCATCCTACATCATCTAGAATAAGTGCGGAACCCGTCATCTCCTCGCCTAATTCAGGTATTAATAAAAAGTCTGGTACCAAGTGTTATTGTGGGAAAATTTGTAAAGGAACTCGAGGTTTGAAAATGCATCAACGAAACTGTCAGGTCATCTTGGGGCTCAATAATGAGTTAGTGGATAATATATTCGAACATGAGGAATGCAACAACATCTGTGGCGAAAACCTAAACGACCTTGACAGCACCTCAAACCCCAATACTAATTATGGCAAGGAATATCCTGAGTTAAAAAAGGGTATAAATCTTCCTAAAACCGACTCAGAATGGCAAACGGCTAACGAAGATTTCAAATTTTCATTAATGTCTTATCCACCAATCAGAAGTACCGATTTGAATACATCAATTAAGCTATTAAATAACACCATCTACAGCTACTTTGCTGGAAATTTTGGTTTTACGGAATCTCTACCTAATGATTTGCTCGTTAAGAAATATAAAAGTCACAGCATAAAGGAATTAAAGAAAGCATTGAAATATCTAAAATCATCAAACTCTGATCTAGCTGAAATCAGATATGTATCTCGTCTCGTGCGTAATATGCTAAAATCCGACACAACTAATAATATAGACGAATCGCTTAACCACGACAAATATATAGGACGCAATTTCTGGGGATATGTGAAGAAATTTATCGAATGCAACCAATCTACTCTTCCTACCTTTAATATGGACGATTGTTTAAGATATTTTAAGACAGTTTTGACCAAGATAAACCCAAACAAAATATTTAACATTCCAAATTGGATTCCAAAATTACCTAATCCCCTCATTGAATTTGACCTTCAACCCCCAAATTATCAACAAACAACAAATATAATTCGTAAAATGAAAACATCTGGCTCTCCTTGTCCTCTTGATCAAATCTCTATTATATGTTTTAAACGTTGCCCGTACCTCCGAACATATTTAACCGAACTAATCCAAGCGGTCTGGCTTTCTGGGTCTGTTCCTGATGAATGGAAGAAAGCTTGTACTATATTAATACACAAGAAAAATGATACTAATCTTCCTGAAAACTTTCGTCCAATAACTCTTCAATCCGTGCCGTTGAAAGTATTCACTTCATGTATCCGTAATGCAATGTTCTTGTATTTGATTGCTAATAACTTCACCGAACACAGCATTCAGAAAGGATTCACTCCTTATATATCGGGAACATTTGAACACACAGCTCAAATGGCCTATATTATTAACCAAGCACGAATAAGACAGCGATCTCTCGTCATAACCCTACTTGACCTCAAAAAAGACACCATAATCTGATTCAATCTGTCCTTGGCTATCATCACATACCTGATCATATTCAACACATAATTAAAAGTCTTTATACAAACTTTAGAACATCAATCATCACACCTGATTTTAGTACCCCATTTATAAACGTAACTCGTGGAGTTTTACAAGGTGATTGCCTCAGTCCATTGTTATTCAACTTATGCTTCAACACCTTTATCCAGCACATAAAGTCGGAAAAATATCAACAATTTGGTTTTTCGTATAAACTTCTCAACCCGGTTCATTGGTTTCAATTTGCCGACGACGCAGCTGTAATAACCAGCCAAGAATCTGAAAATCAAATCCTACTAAATCGTTTTGCGATCTGGTGTCAATGGTCAGACATGATCATACGAGTGGACAAATGCAGTACCTTTGGCATCAAGAAAGCTCTCACTAAATCAATTCAATACCTCCCAAAGTTATTCATTAATAGATGCTTAATCCCAGTTACGCAAATTGGTCAATCATTTTGTTATTTAGGAAGATTCTTCAATTACGAAATGACAAATGACGAACACAAATCAGAATTACTCTCCTTATTCACTGACCTGATGAAAGATATAGATCTGAAGCCACTGCACCCAAAATATAAAATTCTTTTATACAGCCGTTATGTACTTTCAAAACTCTCGTGGCATCTCACAGTAGCATCTATTCAAAAAACCTGGATTTCTGAAAACCTGGACTCAGTTTTCAAACAGTACATCCGAAAATGGCTTGAACTCCCTATCTCTGGATCGCTTAGTTACGTTTACCTAACTAGAAACAAATTTGGTCTTAACATCATTCCTCCTTCTACTAAATTCAACCAATGTCAAACAACTATCCGCAGTGTCTTGAAATCTTCTCCTAACGAATCAATAAAACACCTATGGAAATCTTCTTCTAATCATACTAACACTCAATATGATCAATATAATTCAACGAAAGAAGTTGTTAAGTCATTTAGAAAAAGTCAAGAAGATAAATTAGAAAATCAACTAAAATGTCAAGGTTCGTTCTTTTCAAGCATAACAAAATTCTCTCTACCCGAAGTAAACTGTATTTGGTCAACGTGTCAATCGAAACTACCAAGAAATATTTTCAACTTCAGCATTCGATACATCAACAATTCACTGCCAACCCGGAAAAATCTACATAAGTGGGGACTCTCGTCGTCTTCTGAATGTTCATTCTGCCTTAACCCTGAATCATTGTTGCACGTTGTCTCTGGTTGCAGTTCCTACCTAGAACGATTTACTTGGAGACACGATTCAATCCTAAATTTTCTTGCCAATAACCTTCCCAAGGAATATATTCAAAACATCTATGCTGACTTGCCATCATTCCCGAATCCCTCAATAATTACTGGTGAAGAATATCGTCCTGATCTACTAATTGTGACCAAAGACAATTGTCTTTATATCCTTGAACTAACCGTCGGGTACGAAACTAATCTAAGAAAAAATGTGCAGCGAAAACACGTGAAATATAAAGATACGATTACGGAACAGCAGAAATATTTTAAAACAGTAAAGTTCGTCAATCTGTCGATTAGTGCGCTTGGTGTTTTTGAGAAAGAATGTTCAGTCTTCATTGATATGTTGGAAAGTTTAAAATCCGACAAGGCTGGTGTACGATATATAATCAGAAAGGTCATTAATATCGCAATAAGGTCAACATATTACGTTTTTTGTTGTAGAAACAAGGATTGGACAAACCCAGATTTACTAAAATTTTAATCTGCTTGTTATACTGTGTACTTGTGTAAATGTAAGGTGTTAAAGTATAATCAAATTTTTATATATCAAATTTTTATATATCAAGTAGCCAATTGTAAATTACCTTTAACAGTGAGATTTGCAATTGTAAGTATGTATTAAAGAAAATAAAGTTTCCATTATTACTATTAAAAAAAAAAAAATTAAAATTCATCATTATTAAAATTAAAATTCAGAAAGGTTTCACTCCCAACCTGTCTGGCACTTTGGAGCACACGGCTCAAATGACAAATATCATAAAGCAAGCAAGAATAAAACAGCGCTCTGTAGTCATCACCCTTCTTGACCTTAAAAACGCATTTGGTGAAGTGCATCATAATCTTATCCAATCTGTCCTAAATTATCATCACATTCCTAATCACATTAGCAAAATTATCAAGAGCTTGTACACTGACTTCAATATAACGATTATAACAGCTGAATACTCTACTCCGTTCATAACAGTTGGCCGAGGCGTGCTTCAAGGAGACTGTCTTAGTCCTTTACTTTTTAATTTGTGTTTCAACACATTTATTCAACATATCAAAACCGATAAATACCGACAATTTGGACAAATTCTTAAACCCAGTCCAATGGTTTCAGTTTGCTGATGATGCAGTGGTTATAAGTGGTCAAGAGACCAAAAATCAACATCTTTTAAATCGTTTCTCCATATGGTGTCAATGGTCAAACATGATCCCTCGAGTTGATAAGTGTAGTACTTTTGGCATTAACAAGGTTCTAACCAAGTCAATCCAATATTTACCAAGACTCCTAATTGACAATAAATTAATACCTGCCACTCAAATAGGAGATTCGTTCCGATATTTAGGGAAATATTTTGATTTCAATATGTCCGATAAAGATCATAAAAAAGAACTAATCACTCTGCTTGAAGATATCATGAAAGAAATTGACCTTAAACTGCTACATCCGAAGAACAAAATTTTACTCTATAGTCGCTATCTCCTGGCATTTTACTGTCTCAACCTTATCAAAAACGTGGGTTGTTGAAAACATGGATTCCGTTGCCAACAAGTTTATACGAAAATGGCTTGAAATTCCCGTATCAGGAACTTTGAGCAATGTGTTCCTTACAAGAAATAAATTCGGTCTAAACATATGCCCTCCATCATCAAGTTTACTCAGTGCCAAACAGTAGCTTGAAGAGCCTTAAAAACTTCTCCAAATGATTGCATAAAGTATTTATGGAAAATCACCTCTGACAATGTTAACATACAGTACGATGTGTATAACTCAACCAAGGAAGTCTTGAAACGTTTTAACTCCGAACAACAAGAAAAACTTAAAAACCATCTGCCTCTGCAAGGTGCCTTTTTCCCTAACGTCATCAAATTTTCACTGTCTACTTTAAACAACTTGTGGTCCAAAGCGCAGTCAGGTATGCCAAAGAACATCCAAAACTTCTCCATTCGCTACATTAACAACACTCTACCTACACGAAAAAATCTAACAAAGTGGGGGGTTTTGTCTAACTCGGATTGCTCCTACTGTTTGAGTCCTGAAACCCTTATGCATGTGGTCGCTGGATGCCAGTCGTACCTTCCACGATTTACCTGGAGACATGACTCCGTTCTGAATTTTATCGCGAAAACATTTCAACCCATTCAAAACTCAAATTTGTTTGTCGATCTACTTGGATACAAGAGCCCATCAATAATAACCAGTGAAACATATCGCCCAGATTTGCTTCTTTCTATTTCAAATGATTGTTTGTACATCCTGGAACTCTCTGTCGGATACGAATCAAATCTCAAAAATAACGTAGACCGCAAAAAGAAAAGGTACAAGGACTTAATTTCACAGCAAAGAGATCATTTTAAAACTGTTAGATTCATTAATTTGTCAGTTAGTGCCTTAGGTGTTTTCTCGAAAGAATGTAGCACGTTCATGAAAATGTTAAACGAAGTTGGTCTCGATAAGAAAGAACAGAATTTTTGTGTTAAGAAAATTACGTCTATCGCCATAAGAACAACATACTATATATTTTGTTGTAGAAACAAAGTTTGGTCCGATCCAGACTTAATGAATATTTAGATACAAATATTATAATTCGATTCAATTACAAATTTTCATTACATCGCTTCGCTTGTCAAGTTCAGGGGGAAAATTCCTGTGTTTCTATACAGTTGTAGAAAAACGGAAAATATTTTCCCCAAGCGGAGCGCCGTGCGAGGGTACTAATTCCGCCCGGAGATTAGGAATTACACCCTGGACCCTGGAGAACATAGCGGAATCCAAAGTTGCCAAAATGTCATGGATGTTCAATGGTCATGGTAGTTGTGCGCATGTGCAAAATTTGAAAGAAGAAAGAACGGTCGTCTAAGACTTGCTGATTGGCTAACACAAAAAGAGAGCATGCATGATAGCGTCAGCATTTTAACCATCATTTTTCAAACTATAAAATGAAACCATGGAGTCAAATATTAAAACAATATTAAAAGATTTAAAGATCATCACAGCACAGAAACAGTTGGTGAAATAGGAACGACTCAAAGAAAGGTTTTGTGGTAGGTGTCTATATTTTGCTTGTTCAGTGTTTGCTGTTAGAATGCATTGTTTTTTGACAAGTACGACCTTGGTATGTCGTTTTACAAGGAGCTAACCGACCGTTTAAGGCTTTACATCATCGCTTAAACTTTAAAAAGAGTTCTCAAAAGTGTACTTCAGAGTTTTGATAAAAAATACCACTTTGCAGCTTATAAAGTCGCTAAAATCATTGAATGAAATAAATAATCGAAAAACAACATTCAACGTTTAGTGCTTATATGGTTATTTTAATTATTTGTGCTGTTCTGATATTTTGAAGGTTTAGCTATAAAAAGGTTTAACACTCACTTAAACTGGGACGTAATGCGGCAGGAAGACAGGTGATTTCTGTTCACTTTTACGACTGTCTTTGTTTCCGAAAAAATTGCACAAGTTATTTCATAATATTGGTGTAAAAAGTTAGGTCTTGGGTAGCGCACGAAATATTTTGCTTCGTTTAAAATGGCAAGAGGTTGCTGCATGTATGTATTTCTGGTGTATTTCTGAAATGGCAAATATTTTTTTCGTATTTGTTGAGGCAATAACCCCCTGCGAATATTAAAAATGGCCTCATTTTAGAAATTTGCAGGGGGGGCTCTATTTAATGCACTTGCTAAGCGACGAAACATGACGAATTAAAAATACAGGAGTTCTCCTTCTTATAGGGATTAGGGAGTTTTAGCAGTGACTACGAGT